CCCCAAAACCCCAAAACCCCAAAACCCCTCTTATTAAATTTTTCACTGAAGTCAGGAAAAGTATTATTCGTAATTAAATTTTAAATCTGAACAATAAAGCAATGACTGAGTGGAAATAAAGAAATATGAACATGTATCTGACAGGCGATAAGCCTTACGCTAAAGACTTTTGTCAATCTGCAAACGCATCCCCCATTTCTAAATTAAGGCCCGACAAGTATGAATCTATTTACTGCTCTGAAAAAGACAAAAAGCTCAAAGAGAACTTAGAATGGAGTCTGTCAAAGTAAGTATAAACAACTATAATTGAGTCTCAGTCTCATAAAAATTTAGATCCAGGAGATAATAATCTCATAAATACAGTCAGAAAAGAATAAATTAGACCACAATTGACAATGACTCTTTAACGAGAAGTCCTTTGGTAAAGTTTTTGGACCAGACTCCGAGATCTAACTGCTCTAAAAGTTCGGCAAGTTTAAGCAGTTGTAAGGGGACACCAAAGCCACATAGCAAGTCTAAATCATTGTCATGCTAAAATCTCAAGAATCTTGCCACCAATTGTAACAACAACACCAATAATAATTCTAATTCATCTTACAACAACACTAATCACAATTTCAATATGAATGAGGATGAATTTGATACTATCAATTTTGATTGTTTGAGAGGGCCTATCAATCTTGATAACGTTCATGTTCCATGTTAAATTTCAAATAACATTACCCAACAACTAGCTAATAAATAAAAGACCAGTAGATAATAATATCAACAGTAGAAACATCAAAATTAACAACAATATCAACCAGTTAATAAGCCAGTCATAATAACTAGAACAACCTCCAAGAATAGGAAAAATTAATCCTCTCTTGATCTCAGTCACCCTGCTGCGTACACTAACATAGAAATCCTTCCAATTAGCAATCAGAGGAAAGAGCGTATTCAAAAATCAAGAGAGTCTCGAGTATTCTAAGATCTGAACAGTATAGAAATAATAGAGCCTTAGAATATTAATCTATAAAATAAAAATTAAAAAGATGGAAAAGGTAAATGCAGCAAACTCAGTCAGTTTCTAACTCAGAACTGCAACCAGAGAAACTAAAGAATCAACAATGAGAATTTAGATGCTTTTGGTATGAGATAAATCAACACTGAAGACAATATGCTAAATGTACTTCAGTATTCGATAAGCAATGTACAGCCAACATTTGAATACAAAGTAATTCTTAAATATAATAAAAATCTTCTTAATCTAGGAATAGCAATAATCCATAAAACAAAACGGTTTAAAATTTGACATCAACAAGAATCTCTACCCTAGCTTGACTGGCTAAAAGCTTACCAAGGAGTAAGCATACTAAAACGTATTTAATATATATAGTGGGCTTGTGCAGGACAAATTGATTGATGCCTGTTTCCAGGACTTATTGACTAAGGATCCATTTTAAGTAGTTCATGAAAAAAGAAACGCACATAAAGCAAGATATAAATTCGAAACATCTAAATAAGCCTAAAGTAGAAGTCTTGTAGCTAGTCCCAACACCATTAAACATGAGCCTAGGAGAGTAACATTAGTCCATTAAAGTAAGTTTGAAGAACTCGAAGTAAGAAAGGCTAAGGCAGCAAGTGCTTGGCTAGGCCAAATGAACCAGACTTATGAACATTAATATGACCTTGAGTATAAAAAGTAGATGTGGGAAATAGAGAGAAAAGAAGCCATGAGAGCCAAATAAGATAATCAATACAGACTAATGAGGGATTAAAGACATTAGCAAAGACTAATTGAAAATATAATTTAAAACCCTGCAACATAGACTTCACTTGACAGAAGAAATAACTCAAGCTTTAATAATTAAAATCTGAGTGATAGATACTACTCAGCCCCCAATTCACCTAGTATCATTAAAATGAATAGAGCTCCTCTAGCAGCCAAAGATAACAACATTGACAAGATGTCAAATCTATCTGGAGCCCCCACTAACTGTACTTCTCCAAAGGGTTTATAATCATATGCTTCTTTTGCAATGAGAAGAAATTCTACTAAGAACAGTTCCAGGATGTATTCAGGGGCTTAACCTGGCTAGATCAGTGCTCTCAATCAACATATCAAGGAAAATAGTTATGGGTTGACTTAGCAACACTCCCGAAGCAACAGCAGATCACAGAATGTATTAGTTGCAAAAAAGAACTCATTCTTGAATGTTAATGTTAATCTAATAAAAAATCAGTATGTTAAGCCTGATGGCTCGCTTCACTCTAGAAGGAAAACTTTCTGCCTGTGAGGTTCTACTCTTAATCTATCAATCAGGTCATGAAGGATTTTTGTGTTATAGCTAGTTATCTTTCTTATATAGATTTGTTTTACAAGCATTAAGGCTAGTTAACCTTTATTATTATCAATTTAACTAATCCTTACAAAATCTAGATCTATATTTATGCTTAATGGGGTTTTGGGGTTTTGGGGTTTTGGGG